TTCATCATATTTGCGTTACCTATATCATACATATAAATTCATGTGGAATGTGCATAAAGCATTACACAATATTCACCATGAAATCATCATATATTTATTAATATGTTTGTTTGTCTCATTTCTTTTCCTCTGTCTATTTTTAGCAACCTGTAGTAAAGTATAGACAAATTCTCATCATGGATGAGTTGAGTGCTCTCATACATACATGTACATACAATCCATTTTGCCTAAATTTTCTTTTGTTTAACTTTAAATCACAAATATGCCTTAATTTCCCAACAGGGGATTTATATCAGATTAAGTCTAAGAAAATTGACAACCATGTATTGACGGATGAAATGGTGAGAGAAAGATGGGTTAGGAAAGGGACAGACAGAAGAGATACATGCAGAGACAGTGGGAGAGAGAGTGAAGTTGAGAGAGATATAGAAGTAGTGTTTCAGGGTTGTGTAGTGTATCCAAGCCATCTAAAGATGCATATTGACGTCAGAGTTGCAGAGTCAGAAATATTTCACAATAGTAGATGTTTTTCCCTCTCATTACCTCCAGAGAATCTTGTGATTTTTTATCCTCCAGACTATTTTCCCATACTCTTTTGTATTGCGCAAGATTTGTTTAGTATTTACACATACTGTAAGTGAGGGAAAGAGTTGGATATTGAAGTATGAACCCCTTTCCCTCTATGTTCAACTAATGGAGCAAACAGCGGAACGCTACATACAGCTTTTAGCACACGTACAATATACAATTTCTCTGGTTTCAATTTGTACTGAATAGAGTTAAAGTCTTAGGTTTCATGGGATGTGAGATAATTTGCTACTTGTAGCCTTCTAAATTTGCTCATCTTTTTAAGCACTCTGCATGTACATGTAGATGAGCTTGGTGGTTTTGAGAAAAAAGAGATATATACATGTACATGTACATGCATGGACGATTTTTAATGGGAAATGGAAGCAGATAAAATCAGGACCCTCTTGATTGTTTCCATGTACATCCATCGCCATGACAACAAATGTGCATCGTCTTCCTACGCAAAGAGTCACTATTGAAAGAAAGAGAAGGAGTTGATGAAGAAGAGAGTGAGAAACTGAGAATAGAAAAATGTATTGATTTATTGTAGTACTTATACATTGTACATGTATGCTAAAAATACTGATAATGGGTGTGGTAAAGAGACGAGATGGATGAAAGATTATCCACTTCTTGTCTGCCAAAGGTTTACTTCATGTGTACATGTACATTAGGCCTGTCTTCATCAGCTCGAGTTTGCCAAATAACCCGCTATTTTCAGACTCCGGATGTTATCCCGCAGCTCGAAATTGTGTCTTCACCAGACCGATACGCTCATCACAAACTAGCTAGGACGGGCGCAAATTAAGTACAATGTCTTCAAATGATGTTGAATTTGTAAAATAAGGAAATGAGAGTTTAACCCTTTCCGAGACAAGATCAAGATTTTGGAGATATTTTCTCAACAAATTATCCTGCTAATTGCAACTGTGGGCTGATGAAGAGGCAAGTCAATTTGCGATCGGGATAGTTAAAATAGCGAGTTATTTGGCAAACTCCAGCTGATGAGGACAGGCCTAGAGTGTATAGGTGTCAAAAGCACACCTGGGACATGACATTTGTCTGTTGATGCATTCAGCAGTAGCTCCTTGTTCTGCTAGAGCCATTCATTGTCGTACAAAATTATATTTAAAGGTGCGTGAATGTTATTATTTGATGGACATTGTCACCTTCCTCTGTCTACATGTATGTAACATGGTCAGGCTAAGGCTGCGACGGGTAGTCGAATGCTCGAGTACCCGCACGGTTGAGAACTACTCAGGTACGATTTCTCGTTCCGGAATATTCGGCAAAAAAAAAAAAAAAAAAAAAACTGTCCGCGCGCCATGTGTGAGAGCCATTTTCAGACCCTCGAAATGCGTGATGTCACGCCTAATGCGTGACACTTGGTAGCTCTGTAAAAAAAAATTTGAATATGAAGACATTTACAACAAAGCCCTCTTGATAGGCTCGAAAGTAAAAGATACAATGTCAAATGTGGCAGTTAAACCCTCCTATATCTCTGAAAGGGTTAAACTATCGTTTCATTATTTTACAAATTGAACATCTTTTGAAGACATTATATGCTTCATATCACATATAGTGCCCATGATTGATTTTGATATCAGAATTCTAATAGGTGCATGAATGAACTAGATCATGCTATACAAGGAATGACATTCTAGAAAATTAATGATATCCCAATTATTTAAAAAGTTCAATTAAGATGCATGTTTGTCTGCTCGTCTATATGTAAACAGGAAATTGAATTAAGAATCGACTGCTTAAAATGGTGAATACTAAATTTTATGAAATGTCAAACAAACCACATGTATTTCTTTGATTACATACCGTACATGTAGATGCGCCTATTTTACGTGACTTGTATACACATGTTCTTGTGTGTGAAGATCAATCTGGTAATGTACTTGTATATTACAATTTGTAAGGTTTTTTTCACAATGTAATATCACAGATAAACTACTTCAGTTATTTTATTTTCATAGAACAGAAATTGTGAAAATGCTACGAATTTTTTTTGAAAAATTGAATTCAATGTAAGACAGTTTGCTTGTTGAGGACTCTGGGATGAGAATAGAGAGATTGACATGACTAAAGCAGCCAACTTGCGATAGGATTCATGAAATTGAGCTATTATTTGGTAACAACAAAATGGTTATACTGTATGTGAGCAGAACATGCATGCAGTTAAAGAGAAGGTCGAGTTCTGGGAAGAGGTGAAAAATAATTTGTGAGCGTTACTCATTCTTATTATGCAATTGTGGAAGAACATCAGATAAGACATGTCCCCTAAAAGCATGGCTCTTCAAATGCCTTCATATTCTAAATATGCATGTAACATCGTAAAAATCGGGTGGCCGGCTTTTTACGCCACATGTTCGTGTAGTCTTAAACATCTTTCTGTGTATAGTGTTTGTAACTTTACCAAGACTTGGCCAAATTTCGTATCATTTTGATGATTCCAGAACCTTGCAATACACACAAATTCTTATATGTTAGATGATCAACCTTTTCTGGTCGGTTCCACACCGTTTCTTTCACAATGCAATTGCATGACCAGAACTCAACTTCATCTTTAAAACTTCTCATTTCGAACATGTCCTATTGGGGATACATGTATATTTACATCTTGATATATCGTCTGCAATCTGAAAATACGACACGTGCAGCGCATCATGAACACTCGTGTAATTCCACCTCCTCACAATCTAAATGGCTTTGGAAGTGGTTTGATGAAACAAGACTGGATACAGTTGAAATAACGTCAGGTGTCAGTGACACTTGCGTGAGCTAGCGTGTCCTCTCTAAAATTAACCTTCCAAGAAAAGCAGGATACTGTTTGCGTGGGACGAGGGTTTTACCACCGGTCAAGAAGTATTGATTTGCCTTCGTTCCATCAAAAGGGGCAATTATGCTTTGGTCTGAAAGACTGCATGTACATGTACTGTACAATTCAGATGCTTATTGTAAATGTACATGCACCGGTACCTGAAGTAGGCCTACATGTACATACATGTATGATCAAGAGCCAATATGTTGACCTACAAAGTTTGCATTCAGAAATATGTACATACACTGTAGAGGAAGTTTAGAGAGGGATGGGAAAATGGCAGAGGATTCTTATACTTGAAAATTTAGTTCTGAGAGATGTCCATTATAAATCTTTTTCTCTCTCTAATATTTGCAGCATATGGCTAGGTAGGCCTATTGTTGATTGGTGAAAACATAAACATGAACATGTGCATAGTGTATGTTTCTACATTTATGATCTGAATTACTAATACACACATGAACAATTAGAACAGAATGCAAGTCACACATATTATATGTAGAAAATGCATAGTTAAATGTACATGTACTGTACATACTTCCTACAAGTGTTTACATACACGTACAGTACATGTATTTATGTAACCTCTACACTTTTAACTGCGCCCATTTAGCACACACACGCTCGCTCGTAATAATGTTCAATATTGAAGGACACAGGACTACCAGAAAAAGAAGATAAAGAATGTCTATTCCGTTGATGCACTTACACTGTACATCATTATGTCTGTCTTATACTTTTGCCCTCTTGACCCAGCTGCCATTCTGTTCGGTCAGTGGTGCTTGGGCAAGGAAATACACAGGGATAAGTGTATTTCCCCATTGCAGATTAGTGACAAATAATCACTTAAATAGAATTTGTGGTTTAGCACCCAATGGAATGGAAACGATGAGTTAACTGAGTATGGGAAGGAAGGTATTAGCCTGGCAAGACACAGGCGTGAACGGATAGCTGTATCGGATAAAAGTACCTAGAGTAGACAGACCAAGGACAGACACAACAAGAATGCACATGTATTTATCAATTTTTTGTTTGTAATTCACAAACATGTGTAAGCACAGATATAGGATGCAGTTTGTGCAATTAAGAGTAAACTAAGTATAGATGTCTACTACTCTATGTTTTCTTCATAGAGTTACCTCTAGATCTCCTTTCTACAATTCCATGATTATTGTCATAAATGTTAACAATTAAAGTACCTACACGTACATATATTTGTATAAATAAACAAAACATCTCTATTCAAACGTATGTTGTGTTCTGAATTGAATGTACTGTTTGAGATACATTTTGTTAAGATCCGTAATTCACATTATGGTAGTATGCATTTGTACTTTAAAAACAATTTTTTTTAAAGGTCTCTCTTTCTTTATGTGTATTTTACAGACTTTTTAAAATAATTTATATTCATGTTTTATTAATAGTGTTTTATCAGGGTTTTTTGTAGAGAAACCCTGTGGTCATGCAATTTCTGTATCTAAAGAAAACACCAAATGAATGAATAATTGAAAGTAAACGCCTTCAAAACTCTGATATTCCCTGAATATTTAAACAAATATGTATTGTATTTCTAACATTTCATTTCTTCTTTTGATTTCAGGTTAAGAGATCTGATTGTTAAATGTGAGTACCACCCGTCAATAGCTGCCTTTGATGGACTCCTATTCCTGGTTGCCCTCATCAACTTCCTACTAGCAACGTTTGTTGATCCTGGAGTATTCCCAAGAAGTAAGCATAGGCTTTCAGCCGGCCTCTTGATGGTTGTACGATGGTGTTCCCACATTTTCTCTGTTGACGCTTGCTCAGGGGCTTTTTTTCATCAAATTTTGTAGGGTTAGGGATAAGGTTTATATAGTGGGGCTTTAGGTTAGGGTTTGAGGTAGGAGTATTGTGTGTGGTATTGGGTTGAGTAAGGAATTTGGTAAGTATAGGACATTGACCGCAGAGCAATTATTAGCAGGGTATGCATGGTGGAACTATATGTATTGTATGATAGTACTCTGACATATCCTACCGCAACAATTGCTTTGAGCTTTATGTAGTGAGAGATATACAGGTGTAGGGTTACAGGTTGATGTTTTTGAGGCTAGGATTAGGGTAAGGGGGGGGGGGGTATGGTATAGTGGTGAAGTTGGGAATCAAGTTTATACTGTGATATCTTGATCTTGGAGCAATAGACCAGTTCACGGTTAGCACATGTACCAAATCAATGACCCCGAATATCCACAGATCTTCAAAATATGAAATAATCACTCCTACAGCGTTGGAGGTGCTACATTAAATAGCCTTTGTTTCTCCTTTTCAAAGAATACTTCCACCTGTGTGTCACGGAGTGCACTGCTTTTGCATAAATGAATAATGATTACATTACTTTCGTGAGCTCATATCCAGTATTTTGTCTCTGTGTATTTTGTGCAATGACCTTTATCTGCTCATGCTCAGACTGCAACCGTGAACTGGCTTATTGCAAACTGCAAGAACACGTGATCCAGCCATAATTCCTCTGTTGCCATTATCATACACTGGTCAAGCTTCTTACTTCAACCCCAGATTCACCTCTATGTCTTACCTTTACCCTAATTTCAAACCTGCATCTTTTTGCCATTTTTTTGCCCAAAGTAAATGTTTCTGGAGCAATTGTCATTTATCATTCATTCACCTGTTCATAGGTGATAAGGTCTTGAAGCCCCATTTACTTGCCCTTATTCAACTGAACACAATTTAATATTTCAGTTTCTTAATTTTAGAGCTTGAAATGTTAGCTAGTCCATGTTATTTCAGTGAAATTAGAGAATAATTATTTACCAACAAATGGAATGGCAATACCTTTTTAAGCATCTCTGAATGATGTTAAGATCAACATGGTGCCATATAAATGCTATGAAACATAATCATACTTATTTAAACTGTTGAATTTGATTTCCTTCTGTTATGCCTCAGTCACACCTTTGCATATATGGCTTGCGTATTTATGTAAATCCGTTTTAACATGTAATCCTATTTCTTGATATCAAGAAATGATTTTCTGTTGTAAAGCAATGGTAATTCTTGAAATCAAGAAATAGGAATAAATGTTAAAACGGATTTACATAAATACGCAGCAATGCGCAAGCCAAATACGCAAAGGTGTGACTGAGGCATTATAACTCACATTTTTCTAAAGACTCCAGTCTGAATTATCGCAGGCTTAATATAGCACCCAGCGGATGTACACTGTATGCTTGCCGCATGATGTTTATTCAAATTCTTATTTTTCATAGCTGCAGTTGGAGACGAAGACAGAGACGATGACTTGAGGGCACCCTTGTACAAAACAGTTCAAATCAGAGGTATCCAAGTCCGTATGAAATGGTGTTCAACGTGTCGCTTTTACAGACCACCAAGATGTTCACATTGTAGTGTCTGCAACAATTGTATTGAGGTAATTATATCTCTTTGTCTGACAGTTGTTCATTGGTGTTGTTTATGTTATTGTTGTTGTTTTGGTGAGGGAGGGGGTCGCGTGTGTCTCTGTTTGTTTTGTGTTTTGTTTGTTATTTTAACATGATAGGATCATAGGACATGTACTCAAATGATTTATTTGCATTATGAAAGATTCTGTATAATAAGTCAATTTCTGTAAAATTATTTTATGTTTCTCAATTTCTTCTACATTCTGTTGTTTTTAAAATAAGTTGCATTTTGAACAATAGATGAGATACATAGCACTTAGCATTTAACAACAATTTAAATATTTATGATACACAAGTGACCTGAAATAGTCACAGCATACACATTACTGTCAAGGTACCTCGTAGGGTTTTGTGACAACTTCCAAGACTTAGAAGTATGGAGTCTGCCTTCATGTTGACCAGCTCCTTTAATTAAATGCATTAAAAGTACACTTGTAATTCCATAAGCGGCATTAATATTGATATCTACATGTAGCGTGCAAAACAGTTGGACTTGTCACAAAAGCGTTAATCCGTCTTACCCCTCCCTGAAAGTTACTCAGCACCAACACGTCACCTCTTTGATTACGTGCTCCATTATCTCTGCCGATCTACTACTAGGTTGTGGCGTGTATGTGGAAAATGATAATTGATGTCCACATTTCCCATTGATTATGCACAGGAAGTTATCACACTACGCTATATCCTGTCTGAATGTTCCCTGAAGATTAGCCCATTCCCCTTCCCCCTCTCATCCCCCTTCACCCTTCTTTTCCCCTTCCTCCCCCTTCTTTCTCCCTTCCTCCCCCTTCTTTCTCCCTTCTTCCCCCTTCCTTCCCCCTTACCCATTCATTCCCCCTTACCCATTCCTTCCCCCCTCCCCTTCCCCCTTACCCCTTCCCCTTTACCCCTTCCCCTTTACCCTTTACCCCTTCCCCCCCCTCCCTCCTTCCCTCTTCCTTCCTTCCCCCACTCTTCCTTCCCCCACTCTTCCCACTTCCTTCTCCCGGCCTCCCCTTCCTTCCCCCTTCCTTCCCCCTTCCTTCCCCCTCCTCTCCATTCCCATTACTTTACCTCATTTTGTCGTCCCTAATTGCCCTCCGGCTTGTGTTAGCCATGCGCTTATAAGAATAGATGAACATTCAGAAATTAAATGTCATTGTTTGCATGCATTAAAAACAGGTCTTTATTTTTGTCCAAGGTTGATTTTTTTTTTCAACAATATTTCGTAATTCAATTTTTGAAAAACATATTATTTGCCTTTGTCCCGAAGGCAATATGACTGCTAATTTCTTTCTTCTAATTTCTAATACATGTACCGGTATTTGATTACTTTTCAGTTGTTGATGTAAAATGTTAATGATCAACTCGGCCTCTAAGCAATAGATCTATTAAAAAGTTTAATGATATTATTGTTTTTAAGCAATTGTCAAGTATGTCTTCATTTAGAATTTAAGTTTATATATAAATTCTAAATGAGTTGAAAGTAATACTGAGCAATGACTCAAAGGTATTACATTTCAGTTTTGTTATCAGTAATTTTTTGAGAATCAGAGGAGTGTGATACATGAAAGTACATTTAGTACCCTCAACCATGGAGGGATGCAGTATTTAGAAAGACGTTAGGAAATAAATGTATGCAACTGTTCATAAAGGCCTTGCTATGAAATGCACTTCAATTTACTGCCAAATAAATTTTAAGGGGCTAAAACCTGATTAATAATATCTTCAACATTCAATGAGTGATTTCAAGTGAGGGGTTTAAGGCTGGTGTTAGTGTTTAATAAACACTAACACAGCTCTAAACACCGAAATGGAAATCAGCTGGTGTTAAGGCTTTGACCTCTGAATATCGTCAACTTCCGGTAGCTACATTGTAGTGTTATCAATTTTGCAAAATTGTCGTCTGCTGAACCGACCTTTGTGGCTGGTGTTAATATTTTACGTACAAATGTCCTATTCAGTAACACTAGCCCGTGGGGATTAAGCAAATGTTGATTTCCAGTTCGGTGTTAGTGTTGTACCCGCACAACAGGCAACGCACGAACGACGCTATATATTGTCTAATGATCAAATACAAACATGTGAAACAGGTCCTTTACTATGTGATTCATATATTCTTTTGTATAGAATGAGTTATTTTATAAGACCAGAGAAATGAGTGTAAATTGATTCTGTGCTTCTCATGATATCTTTAGTTTTAATGTACCATTTTAAAATCATCGTCGTGTATCAAGTCTGTGTGGTGACGTCACAGTGGTGTTAAGCTATCGATATTGGTATCGTTATCGGGCTCTTAATTTTACCAGCAATTATTTAGCTCGATTTAAGAGCTCTCGACTGCTCTTAACACTAACACTAACACCCAACTTGAAATCACTCAGTGTGTGTACTATTAGATGAATTCATAGAGGGCTTGGGGATTAGGGTACGGGTAGGGGGGGGGGGGTGGTTGTCAGAATTGTATGTGACGTAAATGTACCAGTAGACATGCATAACACACATGAGCAAAACATTGGCCCTGCCTACAGACATTTATCAAGAGAGATTTTATGTCGGCTTTGACGTCACAAATATTGTTTTGACTTTAACTGCATTTAGGTCATTTACCGGTTGGCAACCTTTGCTTAAACTCTTGATTCTGCCATTTCTTATAATGCACCTCTGCCGATTCATACCCTCACCTCCCTCCCCCCCCCCCCCCCCCCCCCCCCCCCCCCCTCCCTCCCCTCATGATTGATATACAAAGTAGGAGTTTTATTGTAAATAGCAAAGGTATTATTTGTATTCATTACACCATACATGTCATCTACAGCCTTCTTAACAAACCTCAAAAGTCAGCTAATAAAAGTATTGATCTTATACATGTACATGTACATTTGCATGTATCTGTTTCTCTCAAATTATTTCTTTACTTGCACTCAAAGGCAAATTGCTCTGATAGTTGGATCGCCTTTTGATATTCAAACATGAACAGTCAAAATGAACTGCGGTTACAATTACTGGCAGCATTACCATTTGAAGAAAAAAATCAATCTCCTCCCTGTTTTATAGTGGATTTACATACACATTTACATTTTTATCTAATATCTATAGTCTTTTATTCCACATACCATCTGGTATTCTGTTGTTGTTGTTTTTTGCAATACCGGGATATGAATGTCTTGTTTATCCCATTGCAAAGTATGTCTCTTGCTTTCAGGCAGAGTACTGAAGTGGAAATTTGCCCTGCAATTCCCTTCAATTATAGCTCAATATTACTCTCAAAAGGTGATTACATTGTAGTACCATACAAAAGCACTGTAAAATGTAGCTATAGACCTTGTACCTGTACATGTATATGATGTGTGTTCTTGTGGTACATGTACACACATTTCTTTTGCAAAGAATTTAAAGTAAATACCGTATTTGCCGGCGCATAGGCCACAGTATTTTTGGAAGAGAAAATATCAAAAAGTCGGGGTGCGGCCTATGCGGCGAAAGAGTAAAAAAAGTTTGTTTTTTTGTTTTTGTTTTTTTTTAGTTTCGATTTATGGCGCTATGCCTGGCAATGTCTCCCAGCTCAGTAATCAGTGTGTTGACTCACCACTCGGAAACTACAACAACACTAAAATTTGACTGTCATCTTGGTTTGAAAGTAATCTTTCTAATAGATCTCAATATGTAGTTTATAATAATAGTTCCTCAAATTTTTCTCTATAACAAATGGTGTACCACAAGGTACACCACTGGTACCATAGGTACTTTATTGTTTTTAATTCACATTAATGATCTTACACATTCTTCTAAAAACGACATTGTTACTATTATTTGTGACAAGTTTACAAGCACAAATCAGCGCCTTTAACTGCACCTCGATGTTAAATGAAGGTCCTTCCACGCGTGGGTTTTCGGCAGCAAAACAACAAAACAAACAAGATTTTTTTTTTTTTTTTTTTTTTTTTTTTTTTTAAATGTCAAAATCGGGGGTGCGGCCTATACGGCGCTGCGGCCTTATCGCCGGCAAATACGGTACTGCAAATTACATATAAATCAATGAATACTCTAATATATTTAATTGTTACAGGCATTAGAACCATCTAAATTCCATGATGACTTTCAGATCGGTTTATTAAAAACTATTCAGATTGGGAATTAATCATCTGGACAATTCAATCTGAATTGTATTTTTCGCCTTCTGCAGATCTTATACATCTAGCACATACATTCTGTGATAGTCTTTTGAGTGCATGTTAATTAGGCTCTGAAAAATAAAATTGACAATGTTCATTAGAAAATAATATGCCACTTTGACTTGAAGGTTTAAATTTCCTTTATTCTAAATTTTCCTTTTAAGGATTCTAATTTTGGGTAGTAAAAAACAAAGGGAAATGTGTGTGTCCCCCATCCCCTCCCCTTTCCTCTCTCTCTCTCTCTCTCTCTCTCTCTCTCTCTCTCTCTCTTCAGAAGTAGTTTTGCTTTTAAATAAAATTGGAAGAACAAAATTGGTTAACTACAGTGTAACAAAACTCAAAATACCTCTTCTCGATGAGTACTTATCTCACCGCCCTTTCCTGAATTCAGAATCAAAGGCCAAATTAATTTTCAATAAAAAATCTTTTACTGAAACTTAATCATCCATTTTGGAGCCTCCTTAGGCCACCTCAGGTGTTCTGTTAGTATAAACTTACATGGTCGTCTTAGTAGCTATGTTCACATGGCACCATCGTAGTTGAATCTTTAAAGGGATTGTTGAGTTTTGTTGCAGAGGGCGCTACACAAAATATTTGTTTGTGAGATAATGAAAAACTGAGTGTCAAATTTGAAAGAACATACAATATAAATGACAAAATCATCTTTGTTTGATCAAAATCGGTTCAGAGACGGCTGAAATATCCATAAATAAAACTATTTCTAATATTTGTGTACCACCACAAATATTTGATAATTTGAAAAAACCATGCACTTCGAAGGCAATTGCTGTCTGAAAACAGAACTCAACTATCCCTTTAAGTTTTAAAACGACCAAGTAGCAACTACAAGGGTCCATACACATGTATGGGTCATTCCATCAAGTGCGTAGCCAGGATTTCCATTTAGGGGGGGGCGGTAGTGAGCACGCGAAGTGTACAAATCACTTACAGAGCAGGCATAGCACGCTCCCTAGGGGGGTGGGTGCAGGGAGGGGGGAAGCGCGGAAGCTTTGACGTTTCATTGCATTATTAGAAAAAGAAGACTATTCGTTGGACCGTTCTCGACTCTTAATCCTTATCTAAATTCAGTTTCTTTTGACGTTTTTAGAGAAAGAAGACGATTCGTTGTACCGTCCTCGACTCTTAATCCTTGTTTGAAACAAGTTCCCCTTCCTCCGCGCATAGCGCGGAAGCTCTGACGTTTCATTAGATTATTAATGAACGAAGACGATTCGTTGTACCATTCTCAGACGACTCTTAATCCTTGTCTGAATTCAGTTTCCCCACTCCTGCGCGAAGCGCGGAAGCTTTGACGTTTCATAAATTATTAGAGAAAGAAGACGATTCGTTGTACCGTTCTCGACTCTTAATCCTTTTTCTTCCTACGTCCTCTTCCTTTCTTCTTTTTTTTTTCTCTCTTTTTTGTTTTGGCCGGCGTTTTTTGGGGGGTGACCACCCCCACCGCCCCCCCCCCCCCCCCCTGGCTATGCGCCAGCATTCCATGAGGTTGGGGAAAAAAAAACATGAACATGTCCATGTCCATGTAACATTGGTATGAGATCTTATACTTACAGGAAGATGTCATTATCTGTTGATGATTTGTATGCAATGAATGAACATATAGTGCCCTGTCAGAATCTTTTCTGTTTCAGTTGCTTCTCTTCAAATATTTTCTAAATAACCATTTCTCTTTTCGCCAGCATTACATTGACATAACATTACATAAACTTTGGGATACAAATAACGATTCACCATGAAGCTCGAGTACCTTTTTACATAGTTGGCTATGCTTTTAATGCTAAACTGAATTTGAGCAAACATTGTTACAGTTGATAGGAGACATAATGTAGCTTCTCACTTCTGGTATGTCACAAAAATGCACCACACCCAATGGATTAACTGCATGGTATTAAAAGTACTACTTGAGGTTTTCAACCACAAGCCGGGTAAGCAATCGTTGTAGCGACAAGTTTATGAAACCTCAAAATTCCTTCCACCACACAGCACATGTATAGCTTTGAGTGAAGAACCCAATCTGCTCATAGTTTTTAAAACAATTTTTTGGGGGGGGAATAATTCTTTTTATAATGTACGATTTAAAAATGTGTACATTTGATTGTGTTGAAATTCAAAGGCAAATGTGAAACCATACACAACATCTCCTCAGTCATCATAAACATTCTCCTTAGGTATATTAAATATATGCACCCATTGTTCTGGTTTCTATAGATTATGAATATGCATTGCACACTGCAACTCAATTTGTATGTTCTCCAGGGCAGCGTTTCTCGAAACCGTCATAAGTACAAGTTCACCGACATCCCATTGACACGCGTGTATTAAGTTTAACACATGTTTCAATGGGATTGTGGTAAACTTTTAGTTATGACGGTTTCGAGAAATGCTACCCTGGCTGACTGTTATTTGATTCTGGACAAATGTCAGCTTCTGTTTTCATCACCGTATATTTCATGTACATTTGGGTATTTCAATTTGGAACCAGTTTGGTCTTTTCAATTGCTTAGAAGTATAGCATGAGCATACAAGTATTGTGGTAGACAGATGTGTAGATTGCCAAGTTTGAACAGAAACAAAATGTATAGTACATGTATGTACCTCCTTCCTTTTGTCTTGTTCTCCGTTTCTTTCCACTCTGTCTGTTGTTTTGTTTGTTTGTCTCTCCCTCCCTCCCTCCCTCCCTCCCTCCCTCCCTCCCTCCCTCCCTCCCTCCCTCCCTCCCTCCCTCCCTCCCTCCCTCCCTCCCTCCCTCCCTTCCTCCCTCCCTCCCTCCCTCCCTCCCTCCCTCCCTCCCTCCCTCCCTCCCTTTCTCAATGATAAACTAGGACACCATTAATTTTTTTTTTTTAACTTTTGATATTTCTTATTTAATGTCATCCTTTGTTAACTTTAATTATACTACCTTTTTTCAGTGATTAATAATCTTATTTCTGTTTTTTCTTTGCTTTTTATACAGAGGTTTGACCATCACTGTCCGTGGGTGAATAACTGTGTCGGGAGGAGAAACTACCGCTACTTCTTTCTCTTTCTGCTCTCGTTAACGATGCACATGGTGTCCGTCTTCGTACTCAGTCTAATCTACGTGCTGCAGGCCAAAGCTTCAATCTCAGACTACCAAAAAATTATTTCGTATCCTTTTCAGCAAAGAGAAAAAATTTGCCCAAGACAAGTTTACATAATAGTCTTGTACTAGTACCCTAAATGGTTAATATGATATGATTGTTATATATTCTATCATGACATAGATATATGTCATTACTTATTCCATGCCCATGGCACATGTTTACCATGACTAGTAGTGCTACATGTATGCATCACTATATGCATCACTATATGCATCATGTTTTTGTCAGTGGCACCACAGTCACACCAACAAGACCGACACCAGACCGACAAGAGACCAAACAAAATTATGCATTACCCTGAAGAAAGGGGCAAGGATTATTCGGTTTAGAGTCGGTTTGGAGGCGGTGTGAAGTGTGACTGAGGTATTACTTAACTACTTCTTGTTCCGCATTTCTCCCAATCCTCAAGGCTGTGAATTATGTACACCATTCAATGAATGAAGAGAAAAATATAATAAACATTCACATTCACTATTCAGGGGATAGTCAATTGTGGGCGTTGTACGAGAACCACAAGTATCGATGTAGACTGGGTGAGAATTTGCATTAGCATATTTTGCACATTATAATGCCAGTGGTTGTTTAATGTTGTGATTATCCCGGCATCCACACACATTTACTGACACGAGCCAGATACATTAGTGGTTTATCAAGCAGATAGACATCAATTCTCTGGTTATTTCAGCTCAGAAGAAACAGAGTTTTCATTCTATTTGCGGAGCACCACACAATACTTTTAAAAAAAGAATGGTTTATTGGAGTATAAACAACAGTTCCAACAAGAAAAAAGCATTCACATCAGCAGTCAAAAGACTGAATTAGTGAGAATTATCATACATTTATATTTGATGTATAATTCAATCATCCCATATATCAACTGTGCAGATGAATTGCGCAGCCAATAGACTCATGTATGGTTACAAAGCTGTACATATTCCATCTATCTTTCCCTTTTAATAGAATTAGTTCAAAAATGTTGATGACATCCATTTTACATTGTAATTAACAGAGATGAGGTGACTACAGATTAATTAGCTTTTTTTTTTGTCTATTTGTCCTTGCACCCTATGTGGGCTGCAAGCCTGCAAGAATTCAATGCATAAGGTCATGAAGTAATTAGCTGAATTTTTCAAATACCATTAACTTGAATTCACTCTCTATATTTATTTTTATTTTATTTTTTCATTTTGTTACTTAATTAGATATTTCCAACTTGTCCATCTCCTCTTTCAGTGTTTATCTATTTCTCTTATATCTTTATCTTCCTCTTTTTCTACCTTTTGTGGGATTTTTTTCCTCATTTTTTTTTTGTAGTGTTTCTTTGCCTAAAAATAGTAAGATTTTTTTTTTTTAATCTAATTTGCCCCTTTGACATTGATTTGTTTTGCAAGAAGTTACAAAAAAAGTTTTAAAGTTATAAAACAGTCCAATATCCTTTTTATTTTAAATCCACATGTTTTTCTCTATCTACTTGGTATTTGTATAGAAAATATGACCAGCCATTGGTCATTTCCAAAATAACTAAGTTGTCTTTTAAAATGTGAAGCCATTTTGCACTATTAATATTGTGTTCATATTAAACTGGACAGGTAGACAGACACATACATTGTACAAAGGTACTATACTTTGCATCTGGCCTTGGTTATAAAAGGCCTCATATTGTTCTAAACATACACACATTACATGCATCCGTCTATTAAAATCTAAACCTTTCTTAGAAATTAGTTCTTAGCCTCAGCATTGATGGTAAAGGAGACTGCAAATTAGACATCCATCTTCACTAAATCTTTAATTTGGCGAGTATGCCTTATTATCTTCAGTATACATGCTGCTTTCTTACTTTTATCTTCCCTTTTATTCTCCCTTGCTTTGGGTCGTGTGGTGAATGGTAAGGAAGAATGGCAATTTGGGGAATTTCCCCATGGACTAGGCAATGCCTCTTGATATGAAGATTTTTCTCCTGGAAAAGGGAATGCCTCTCAATGGGCATTTTGTGGTTCCGGGGAATATTAAGTGTTTGTTCTTGTTTTCTTGGTTGTATGTGGTGTTAAGAGAATTGAAGTATGATTACGTTTTCATGAAGATCGTTAGGTACCAGGGTTCGTACGGGTCAGGGAATTTCTGGAAAGTCAGGGAATTTAAAAATGTTTTTTCCAGAAGCAAAAAGTCAGGGAAAGTCCGGGAATTCGTCCATTTCTTCTGGAAAGTCAGAGAAAATCTTTTTTTCTCAAGATGTTTGTTAAATGGCATTTAATTTGTCCGGGGTTTTACCACAGAATATTCATAAAACAATAATTTAAATGTAAATAACTGTGCATCATGAGCCACTCGTGTTTTCTTAAGAACCCCTTTAAAAATCGTGTTGCTCTTTACTCGAATATCGCAACCCTGAATCGCATTTGATTCCACATTTGGCGTCCATTGTGCGAGCGCAAGCATACAGCCAGTTAGCAAGCCTAGCCTCGTGGTTGCTGCTTTCCCCAAGGTCCGCAATTAAGGCACACTTTTTTCCGTCAGCAAAATATCGAAAGTCGGGGTGCGCCTTATATAGTCAGGTACAGGATATTTGAGTCCTCAAATGCTACTTTTTGGTGGTTTTCAAAAATCTCTGTGTCTCAACATGAATTGCATAATGCAAATAAAGAATAGGATCTACTATTTGAAGTTAAACTACGTTCCTAATTTGAAAGGAAGAGAGTTTTTTTTCTTTCAGTCTCGATAAATTATGCCCTGTCACAAGGCACTTTGCCGGCCGAAGCTCTCCCGTGTCTTAAGCTCACTCACCTGTATGATGCAGCTCACTTACACAGGGGATAACGAATCATCACGCGAAAACTAGCTTGTCCACATTTCTGTTTGGACTCGGAGGAAACAAATTCTGTCATCTTTAGTATTAAAAACAACATTGTTACTGGGTCTAACTTAATTCACAAGCACTTCAACTGTGCCTCGTAATAAAATGAAAGTATTTTCGAACACTGTCACTGAAATAAGAGCTGATCTGATGTTAACAAAAAGACCAATGTTGGCTTTTTTTGGGGTGGCTTTTTGTTTAAACCAGATCAGATCGCGTCTTATTTCAGTGTTCGAAAAATACTTTCACTTTCATTATACGAGGCATAGTTGAAGGTGACACGACATTTGCTCCTGCGACAATTGCTCCGGGCTTTATTTCGTCTAAGATGTAGGGTTAGGGTTAGGGTTTCAATAGGGTTTTATGTTAGGTTTAGGGTTAGGTTTAGGGTAGGGTATAGTGTTGAATCCAGGGTTGAAGTTAGCCATTCGATTAGTGTATGAAATTTACAGCGGAGCAATTGTCGCCGGAGCAAATGTCATGGAATCTAGTTGAAGTGCTTGTGAACTAAGTTAGACCTAGGTCTAGTAACAATGTTGTTTTCAAACTAAAGATGACAGATTTTCTTTTTCCAGATTTTTTTTCAGATTTTTTTTTTTTTTTTTTTTTGGGGGGGGGGGGCTATCTTCGAAATAGGGGTGCGCCTTATAGTTTTGTGATTAGCTTCCAAGTATTGCGATGATGTATAGTAGTACGCTTTAAATTAGGACATGTTCATCATTGAAAATGGTCATGGAAATTTACATTATCCTGCTCTGGAAAGTCATGGAAAGTCATGGAATTTTAAAAATGTGTAAGTGTACGAACCCTGAAGTACATTCTTTGGTTTTCTTTGAGGCCTGTTGTTTACCTGTCACACTGATAATATATCTAGTGCTGCCTGTCTTTGCCTCTATATTCCTCTCCCCACTTCTACCCCCTTATTTCCTCTCTGTCTGTCTGTCTCTTTCTCTTTTTTCTCTCTTTCTCTCTCTCTCTCTCTCTCTCTCTCTTTCTTTTTTTCTCTCTCTTTTCTTCTTTCTTTCTGTTTCCCCTCTCTTCGTGTTTTCTTTCTCTTTGATCCCACTCTCTTCGTCCATAATTATCCTCTTGTGTACCTGCTTCCTCTTCTCCTGTCTCATGTATGATAGGAGACCTTCTTGTCATTCATCTCTCCATTGAAATATCAGTAGTTCATGGGGCTCAGGCAAGGGATCAGAAACCATGTGATAGATAGCTAGCTCGAAGTGAAGACACTCAACATCAATGTTATGATTTCTATTGATGCATAGTGAATGTGTTCCGGGTGTAACAACTTGGCATCCATTGTAGCTTGGGAGAAATGTTGTTGCAGACTGGTATCTCAACCCTAATGTATCCAGAATCATTTGAAAGGTCACAATGGGGTTCTGTTATTGGGTACGCTAGGTACATCACTATGCTTCTCTCTCTCTCTCTCTCTCTCTCTCTCTCTCTCTCTCCTCATGTCATGTCATTTTGTCTAGATATATATATGTGTTTGTCTGTCTGTCTGTCTAACTCTCTCTCTCTCTCTCTCGCTCTCTCTCTATCTGTTTTCCTCTCCCTCCACTCTCTGTCTCTCCCTCTCTCTTCCTCATTCCCTCCTTCCCAATTTTCGTCTCCATTCCTCATACTTTCCAACTTTCCATTTCTCTCTCCCTTTTCTGTCCCTCTCTTTCTTTCTTTTTTCCTCTTCCCTCTTCCCTTTCTCTATCCCACCCTCTTTTTCCCTCCCCCTAGCTCTCTGGCTTTCTGTCATTTGTTTTTAATATTAACTCTCGATACACATGTAAATCTCTTTATCTCCCCTTTAATATACTTTCACAAACTTTCTATATTTTTTATTTTACTGTTTCCCCCATTTTTTTCAGTCAATTTACGCTACCTTGTTCTGTATTATTTGAATCAAATTCTGTATCAAATTTTTACTGAAAATTATTTTGAAGTGCATTTTCTGTGCACTGACGTTGTGTGAAGGAAGTCTGATGCATTTGAGAAATGATGAACGAGCGAGAGTGGTTGCCGATAGATGCTCCCATGCTCCAAGGGCAACAAGTGTCTGGTGCTGATGGGTAATACTCATCATCATAGCTCAGCTTGGGTATCTTTCCCTGCATTTTGGGAAGCATTAAAAAGCTGAGTACATACAT